ATACAAAAATTAGCTGGGCATGCTGGCATACACCTCTAGTCCTAGCTACTCAGGAGGCTGAGGCAGGATAATCGCTTGAACCTGGTAGGTGGAGGCTACAGTGAGCCGAGATCGAGTTACTGTACTGCAGCCTGGTGACAGAGCAAGACTCCATCTCAAAAAAGAAAAAAAGAAAAATGGTAGATTCTTTTATAGCAAAAACTGCATAATAAGCAAATAGGAAAGATCAGCATGAAGCTGTAATATATGTGATTTGCTTTTCAGACTCAGTATATAAAGTTAGTCATCTATCTGTCTAAGAAGCTCTTGAAGCACTGCCTTCCCCACTTACCCTGTCTCCTTGTTGAGACTCCCAAATGTGGAATTACTCCTCTTCAGTAAATAAGAGAACTGGAACTTCATAAGCTCACTAGTGCTGTTACCTTTTGTTGCCATGAGGTGTTGCTATTGAAGTTCGATCCTATGTAGCCCCTTGAATATTTGTCTGCTCAGCAGTGAAGCTTTGGTTGGTCCAGAGCTTTGCTCAGGTTAGCCAAACCACGTCCATAGATGGGCATCAGAGTTAAAGCCCTTTTAACTTTGAGCTTTGTACTCAAAAGCTCTACTGTTATTTCCCACCTTACACATTGTATGTACCAGGCTAATGGGATATGGAAGAGCAACCAGCATCATTCATTCACTTATGAAACAAATATTTATCAAGCACCTACTTTGTGCCCTACGTACTGTTGATGTACTAAAAATAATAATGGTGAACCAAACAAAAATTCATGCCATGATGGTTACATTCATTCTGGGGGTGCGATGTGGTGAAAGGTGCTGGCAAAGACAGATGCTAAACAAAAAATGCTGTGAAATATCTTCAGAAAGTACTATGTACAAAATCCTACCCTCCTACTTATTTTATATTTTTAGTCTTTGTGGGGCACCAATATGAATGATACCAATGAGTGTAACAAAAAAGACAGACTGAGTACTTGATGGATTTACAACAGTTTGCTGTTAACTTCTCTGTAGCTTGTTTTGGGACTTTGTGGCCACTCTGTATATAATGGTACATTATGCAGCTGTTAGAAATACTGGTATAGCTCTATATTTATGAACATGGACAGATGTTTATGAGTAGAAATGCATGTTAAGAAATGATACATTTAGTGTAATCATAATATTAGTGATAAATATTTTTTCTCTACCCCTAAGGTTTCCTTTGTGAGAAGGGAGTTCCATTAGTGTCACCCTGAGCCTGCCGTTTTGTTTTGTTTTGTTTTATAGAGACAGGGAATCACTCTGTCATCTATGCTGGAGTGTAGTGATGTGATCTTGTCTCACTGCAGCCTCCACCTCCTAGACACAAGCCATCCTCCTACCTCAGCTTCCCAAGTAGCTGGGACCACAGGCGTGTACTACCAGGCCCAACTAACTTTTTTGTACTTTTTGTAGAGACAGGGTTTTACCATGTTGCCCAGGCTGGTCTTGAACTCCTGGGCTCAAGTGATCTGCTTGTCTTGGCCTACCAAGTCCTGGGATGTGTATGCCACCACACCTGGCTTGCCTTGGCTTTTTTATTCATGTAATCTCTGGTGTGATGACATCTGATCGGTAAGTTTGAGAGTTACTGGCCTTACTTATGTCATTTCATATAGGACTAGCTAGTCTTTCCACCACACTGAGTGATTTTTCATTTACTTCTCCATGGAATAAGTTATACAGAGGCTTACCCCTACAGGGAGAAGCCTTTCCCTCTCTAGTGCGAAGGCATGCCCACTTCTGGGGTTTACTATTAGCAAGTTCATTTGGCCAGTATACCTAAAGCTTTTTTAAATAACAGAAGTGTTATTTTATTCCCTGTTTTGTTTATCATCTTGTTCATAACTTAGCCAAGGAAGAAGTTTTCTGTTTTTGGGTGCTGCCTTTGTATACCTTATACCATTTTATTTAATTTTGCATTGACTTTCATTATTTTTGCATATATGTGTGTGTATATATTTATGTGTGTGTACATATGTGTGTGTTTATATATAAAGTCTGGAAAGATATGCATCATAATTTTAAAAGGGATTAGAAAAAGGATTGGTAGAATTAGGAGGTTTTTCCTTGTCTGTACTTCTGAATAATGGAATTTATTAGATATTTAATTAAGAAATAGTTAAGCATTTTAAGCCTCTAAAAAATATATAGTCTGCAGTCTTGCTCTGACTTTCCAAAGCAATAGTCTTTTTTGCATGAGGGAAGAAGGTGAAAACCTGAGTATGTTTTACCTGCATAGTTTGGTGCCTGGTTCTAGAACTTCAGTAGGCAAAAATACATTACTCTTCTAAAATCCCTGGTTTGTCATTACATCACATGTCAAAGCAATTGCTTTCCATCCATGAGTATTAGGCAATTTGCCTGGCTTTTTAAAGCGAGTTCTAGCATTCAACTGAGGTTAACTGCATTGGTGTGTTTCACTTTACTCACGAAGTATAGTTGTTTGCTAAGCCTGTTCCATTTTTTTGGCTTCTTTTGATTATTTCTTGCTATTAAAAAAAGAAGAAATTACTCTGGATTCCTACCATTTTTCCTGATTATCAGTGTGATATTACCTGTCATTTACATATATGTGTGTGTATAAATATATATATATATTATATATATGCTTTGCTACATAGGTTATTCTATATTTGAAATTATAGGATATATGTAATAAAAGAGGAAAAGACATAAAATGATACAGTGTTTCTAAAATGGTAATTTTTATATCTCCACCTCTCTATACTAGCAGAAAAAAATTGTATTCCTTGATACTGGAATTTTGTCAAAGTTAATAAAGTAAAAATGCTCCATAACTAAATCATCATATTCCCATCATGGTTTTTAATAGTTCACTTTAATTTTATTTTATTTCTCACAATGCAGGCTAATTACTTGTCAGTTTTTACTTTGAATCATATGTTTTAGACCACAAAAATATAGTGAAAATAAAATATTTTCTGGATACATACTGTACAACTTAATAAACCTTTCTAAATATAATGAAGCTCCTGTACACTCTTTTGAACCCCCCCAGATTTGATGTTTATCATTCTCATACATGTTAATATTTTTACTACCCATATATATATCCCTAAAGAATACAGTGTGTTTTTTGGATATTACAAAACTTCAGGTGAAACATTCACATACTGCCGGTGGGAATGTACCATAGAATAGTTGCTTTGGAAAACTGACCATTCCTAAAAAAAATTAAACATAGAATTACCATATGACACAGCATTTCTACTCCTAGATATATACCAAATAGAAATGAAAACATAATGTCCACACAGAGATTTGTGTGTGAATGTTCATCGCAGCAGTGCATTATTTATATTAGCCAAATAATTTTTTAAAATCCAAATGTTGACTGGGCATTGTGGCTCAAACTTTTAATCTCAGCACTTTGGGATGCCGAGGCAGGTGGGTGTGATGGTGGACACCGGTAGTCCTAGCTACTCGGGAAGCTGAGGTGGGAGATCATGTGAGTCCCAGGAGATGAAGTGTGCAGTGAGTCGCGATCACACCGCTGCATACCAGCCTGGGCAACAGAATGAGACCCTGTCTCAGTAAACCAACCAATCCAGATGTTCATGAACTGGTGAATGGATAAATGTGGTATGTCTATACAATGAAATGTTATTTAGCCATAAGAAGAAATGAAGTACTGGTACATGCCACAACATGGATGACCCTTGCAAACATTATGCCAAACAACAGAAGCCAGTCAGAAAAGGACATTTATTGTATGGTCCTATGTATATGAAGAATCCAGAATAGGTAAATCTTTAGAGACAGAAAGTAGACTAGTGGTTGCCTAGGGCCGGGAATATGTGGGGAGAACCAACAGTGACTGCCAGTAGGTACAGATTTCTTTTGGAAGTGATTAAATGTTCTCAAATTAGATACTGGTGTGTGTTGTACAACTCTATGAATATAGTCAAAACATTGAATTGTACACTTAAATGTGTAAATTGTATTGATACATGAATTATAGCAATAAAGCTCTTTAAAAACTCATGTAAATATTAGAAATTCTGCTGCTGCTAGCTTTTTTGACTCAGCGTTATAAGCACAAGCAAATCATATTTTGAGATTCATACGTTTTTGTTCATGTAATTTTGTATCCCTCATTTCATATTCCATTGTATGAATTTAATATATTAATCAGTTTTCCTTTTTGCTATTAAAAACAATGCTTCAGGCTGGGTGCAGTGGCCTATAATCCCAACATTTGGGAGGCCAAGGAGGAGGATTTCTTGAGCCCAGGAGTTCAAGACCAGCCTGGGCAACATAGCAAGACTCTGTCTCTATTAAAAAAAAAAAAAAATTACAAAACCAATGCTTTATTGGACAGTTTAGTGCATATTTATTTGTATAATATGCTTTCTAATTTTTTTAAGAGCTAGGGGTCTTACTCTGTCACCCAGGCTGGAGTATAGTATCATGGAGGCATGATAATAGCTCACTGCAGCCATGAACTCATGGGCTCAAGCAGTCCTCCCTTTTCAGCTTCCCAAGTAGCTAGGATTACAGGCATTTGCCACCATGCCCGGCTAATTATAAAAAAAAATTTTTTTTTTAATTGCAGAGACAAGGTCTTACTGTGTTGCCCAGGCTGGTCTTGGACTCCTGGCCTTAAATGATACTCCTGGCTTGGCCTCCCATGCCTGGGATTACAGGCATGAGCCACCATACCCGGCCATGATGATACATTTTTAAAGCTTTCTTCCAAATTAGAATTTGATGGGATTATTGATACTTAGTAGTTTGTTTCGGAGGCATTTTGTTGCTTTACCTCAGGATATTTAATTTATTTTACACTATTTAAAATTGAAGTTAGTAGAAGTGCTTTTATCTTCTGAAGGTCATCTGTAGTTTCTTTGACAAGAGAAAAGATAGGACTTCTTAACTGTTGGGCCTTTGCTGGTATTTTAGTGTTATATGAGATGTTTCCTAATTATTGTGTGTGCTAATATATTTTATAGAAAAGGCCACAAATGAGTACAACACTACAGAAGATTGGAGTCTTATTATGGATATATGCGACAAAGTTGGAAGTACACCTAATGGGTAAGCTGTCCAGTCATGCTCAGTGAATGTTTAGGAACTTGATAACCAGTCTCTCTTTTTGTGTTGGAACTTTGAAAGGAAAATAATGAGACTTTACCACAGTTGACCCTTGAACAACACAGATTTAAACTTCAAGAGTCCACTTATACATAGGTTTTCTTTCACCTCTGCCACGCCAAAGACAACAAGACCAACCCCTCTTCAACTCAGTAATTTTCTTAATAACTTTTTTCCTCTAGCTTACCTTATTGTAAGAATACAGTATATATATGCAAAATATATGTCCACCTACTGTTTATGCTATTGGTGAGGCTTCTGGTCAAGAGTAGGCTATTAGTTGGCTGGGCATGGTGGCCCACACCTGTAATCCTAGCATTTTGGGAGGCTGAGGCAAGCAGATCATTTGAGGTCGGGACTTTGAAACCAGCCTGGCCAACATGGCAAAATGCCGTCTCTACTGAAAATATAAAAATTAGCTGGGCCTGGTGGTGGACGCCTATAATTCCAGCTACTCTGGAGGCTGAAACAGGAGAATCATTTGAACCTGGGAGGTGGAGGTTGCAGTGAACCAAGATGGCACCACTGAACTCAGCTTGGGCTGCAGAGTGAGACTCTCAAAAAAACAAAAAAAGACTAGGCTATTAGTAGTTAATGAGTAGTTTTGAGGAATCAAAAGTTTATTTTCAACTGCATGGGGGTTGGTCCCCCTAACCTTCATGTAGTTCAAGGGTCAGTTGTTTTACTTTCGGGACGTAAAAGTTGAAGCCCGAATGCTGGATTTATGGGATTAACTTCATCTGGAAGGAACAAATCGAAAAGAGTTAAAAGCTCCTGTAGTAACACATAATTAAACACTTGACACAGTGGAGAGACGTAACAATGTATAGGTGAGTTATGTAAGGAATTCCTCTGGGACTTAGATATATATGGGAACTTTTAAATAATGAAGTAGATAAATAACACAATAGATAATATAACAAATAAGTCTTCGAATAATATACATATAAATATAATAGGTAGCCTAATGAAAAAAGTGAATATGAAAAAAAGTGCTTTTGGGGAGATGTGGCAATTAGCTGAACTATGTATTAGAAATTTAAGAGTGATGAAAGCATTTGTTTTAACATTAAAGCTTTTCATAGCATATTCACGTGTTTATACTTGAACCTCTGAAAATTACATGTCTTAGATTTTTTCAAGATAAGATTTTGCTGTCTTAAAGCTAAATCTGTCTTGAAGAAGTGGAAAGATCTGGTATATGTCCCTTGTGTTGACGGATCTTTTGTGAAATGATTTGTCTCTTGATTTTGGAATATGCAACATTTGCAACATGCTTTAGTCTATGAACAAAATATTGCATAAAACCATTTTATAGATTTATTCGTTTAACAAGTGAAATTTCAGGGACTTTATTTAATATATTTTTATTTTATACTTACGTTATTTTATTTTGAGACAGAGTCTCACTCTGTCATCCAGGCTGGAGTGCAGTGGCATAATCACGGCTCACTGCAGCCTCAAACTTCTGAGCTCAAGCAATCCTCTTGCCTGAGCCTCCTGAGTAGCTAAGAGTCCAGACACATGCCGCTATGCCCAGCTAATTTTTAAATTTTTTTATAGAGATGAAATCTTACTTTGTTGTGCAGGCTGGTCTCAAATTCCTGGGCTCAAGTGATCCTCCTGCCTTGGCTTTCCAAAGTGTAGAATTACAGGTGTGAGCCATTAAATATAAAGTTATTTGGTAATCGAATACCTTATACTTCTAATGTTTGAATTAAATTTATCAACATTTAACTGTTTTTTTTTTTTTTTTTTTTTTAAGAGCAAAAGATTGCCTAAAAGCCATAATGAAAAGGGTAAATCATAAGGTTCCTCATGTTGCTCTCCAGGCACTAACTGTGAGTAGAAGGCATGTTGTTATTGACCCAAATTTCAAATGTGTTTTTATTATAGTTAATATTTCAACATTTGTATATTAATTTTTATTTTAATAGCTTCTTGGGGCATGTGTGGCAAACTGTGGAAAGATATTTCATTTAGAAGTATGTTCCCGTGATTTTGCGACAGAAGTACGTGCTGTGATTAAAAATAAGGTAAATTTTAAAAAGAGAAGAAATTTAAGTCATTAAAAAATATATAGATTGTGTGTCATTATAACTATATGTGGTATTAATGAAGTAATTATAAGTATTACAAATGAAGTCATTTTTAGATAAATTGAAATGAAATAAACTCCTTTTCTGAAATTTGATTTTTTGATTTGTAGCACCAAAAACTTCTCCCCAAAGTATATATACTGTAGATAATAGCACATCCTTTTTGAGGGCCAGTAAGTAGTCATTGCCTTAAGCATTGTCTTGTTGAATGCTCTTAACTACCCTTGGAGCATTAGATTCTTGGAAGTTAAATTCCCTTATCATTCCTATTTTATAAATGCAAAAACTGAGCCTTAGAGAAAAGTAACTTGTCCAAGGTCACGCAGCTGGTAAGTGAGATAGCCAAGATTTACATCCAGGTTAGTCTATCTCCATTCTCCAAAACATAGAGGAGATAATCCCGGAATATAAAAGATTTGTTGTCATTATAGTAAGACTTAGGAATTGGTGTTAAAAACAATAATTTTGTATGAAACAACTACATCTTAACATGTAAATAGGCATCCTTCAATTACTCAACTAGGCTAGAAATTGCTGGACTTTCGTTGATGTTCATATGATTAAAGAGAATTTTGAGAGTAATTCTCATGGTTAAATAATTTAAGTATGTATTTTAACTATAGATTTTTGTTTCTTTTCCTTTCCTTTTCCTTAAAAGGCACATCCTAAAGTATGTGAAAAACTGAAGTCTTTAATGGTGGAGTGGTCAGAAGAATTTCAGAAGGACCCTCAGTTTAGTCTAATATCTGCAACTATTAAATCTATGAAAGAGGAAGGAATTACTTTTCCTCCAGCAGGTTCTCAGGTGAGAGATTTATTCAGACCCATGGTTGACCCTCTAATATTTTGAAGGTATGTATCTTATGTAAAAACTAGGTAAAGTATGTCTTGATTATCATTTTCCACCTCTACTTCCCAAATGACTCTCTAGCATAGTACCTTAACATTTAATAGACATTCTAATTTTTATGTCTATGTCTTCCACATAACAGAACCTTGAGAAGTTAGTCAGACATAAATAATGTATTTAATGCTCCTCTAAGTCTGGAGTCATGCAAAAGGCATAGGTTTATGAGATGGCCCTTTAATTTTTTTTTTTTTTTTTTTTTTTGAGACGGAGTTTCGCTCTTGTTACCCAGGCTGGAGTGCAATGGCGCGATCTCGGCTCACCACAACCTCCGCCTCCCGGGTTCAGGCAATTCTCCTGCCCCAGCCTCCTGAGTCGCTGGGATTACAGGCACGCGCCACCATGCCCAGCCAATTTTTTGTAGTTTTAGTAGAGACGGGGTTTCACCATGTTGACCAGGATGGTCTCGATCTCTTGACCTCGTGATCCACCCGCCTCGGCCTCCCACAGTGCTGGGATTACAGGCTTGAGCCACCGTGCCCGGCCTGGCCCTTTAATTTTAAAAATGTATAGCAAATTTGAATGGTAGCTTTATACATGTGAAAAATAACTAATTTAGATGTTAAGTGGCAAATACAGGATGAGGGGAATAGACTATATGCTGTCTATCTTAATACCAAAGAGAGAGCAGTAACCACAGGTTGGGATGGTGAAGAAGATGAAGAGGTAGAATTTTGAGACTTGAATGTATTAATATTTTATTAGAGAGAAGTAAAGAAGTTATGTCAGGAGATAAGTGAAATTAACAAACTCATAGAATTGAGAGGCTCCAGACTTGTGTGTTGAAGAGTGACTATGCCTAGAGTGAATGCTTTACATATAAGTTGGATGGAACTGTAAGACTAGAAATGTATTTGCTGGGAGAGGGGATAGCTTTAGTAGAACTGGGATGAAGAGGCAGGGATGTTGACTCATGGAGTGGGCTATCTTTTTATGTCTGTGGGAGAAAAATACTGTCTCCTGGGTTTTACTCTCAGTACTTTATGCCTTCCCATTAATATTAGAATGTGGGCTTAGGAGACTATGGGAAGTACTATATTTTATTTTATTTTAGATCATAGATTAAAGAGAAAAAAGTTTTTTTTTTTTTTTTTTTTTTTTGAGATGGAGCTTCGCTCTTATTGCCCAGGCTGGAGTGCAGTGGTGCAACCTTGGCTCACTGCAACCTCTGTCTCCTAGGTTCAAGCGATTCTCCTGTGTCAGCCTCCGGAGTAGCTAGGATTACAAGTGCCCGTCACCATGCCCAGCTAATTTTTTGTATTTTTAGTAGAGACAGGGTATCACCAGGTTAGCCAGGCTGGTCTCGAACTCCTGACCTCAGGCGATCCACCTGCCTCGGCCTCCCAAAGTGCTGTGATTACAGGAATGAGCCACCACTCCCAGCTGAAAAAAGATTCTTTACAGCTGACCAGATCTAAGGGTACAAGGTAGAGTTTTGAGACAAGAGTCTTAGAAGTAGTAAAAAGGAAACATTTTCCTGTTCTGTCCTTTCTGCATATTTTTGTGAAAAATCTGTGTAAAGAACTGGTTGATGGATCAGAGTCCTGGATACCTGTCTTACATGCCATTTGTTAAATTCAAGCATGACCTTCCTTAATTCACTGCTATGCCTGGCAGACCACTGCCAGCCAGCCACAATAAGTAGTAAAAGGACTTCACACATATTCCTAGAACTCCACCTCTTTTCTCTGTCCCCACTTCTCTCTCTTCAGTAATGATCATGACTTCTTGCTGACACTTCTCATGTAGCTGCACTCCTGTAGCAGTAGAGCTCTTCTCACTAAGAGACCTTGGACAATTGAAATCAGGAATATAATCAGAAAAGAGTCATATTCTTTAATTCTATAAATATTTAAGTACTCTATGCCAAGTTTTGTTAGATTTATGCAAAATCTAAGCCAGTTTGAGCCCTGTGTGAGTTTATAATGTTTTCTTGGAAATTCTGATGTTTTTAGTATTTGAAAACGGTTACTTGAAATTATCATAAAGAACTTCACTTCTAGATCAGTCATGGTGGCTCATGCCTATAATCTTAGCACTTTGGGAGGCTGAGACAGAAGGATCACTTGAGGCTAAGAGTTCCAGATCAGCCTGGGAAACATAGTGAGCCCCTGTCTCTACAAAAAATAAAAATTAGCCAGGTGTGGTGGCATACACCTGTACTTCTGGCTGCTTCAGGAGGCTGAGGTAAGGGGATCACTTGAGCCCAGGAGTTGGAGGTTACAGTGAGCTATGACTGTGCCATGCACCCCAGCCTGGCTGACAGAGTGAGACCTTGTCTCAAAAAAGAACTTCACTTTTAAATGAAACTCAGTTGTATCAGAATTTTTAAAAATTTAGCATGTGCAAGTAATTGTAGAGCTGTATTTTGTTTGAAAAGATAGTTTGTTCATTTTACTCATGCATTTACAGACTGTGTCAGCTTCTGCCAAGAATGGTACGTCATTGAACAAAAACAAAGAGGATGAAGACATAGCTAAAGGTAAATGATCAAGCGCATGTAATTTAGTGTTGCTTAAAATATCTTTGCCAGAACATTGTTTTGAAATAAAAATGGTAATAAAACTGGTATACTTTTATTTTTCCCTCAAATCTGAAAACTAGTAGCGTCCAAAAAGTGAGGAAAACAAATGACAGGCTATCAAATGAATTTAATTCATTATCTTTTTCAATAATATATATTTGATGTGCTGCTACCTTTGGAGAGATTACATTTCACCTTTTCTTTCATGCCAAAGTTATGAGTCAAGCACAGAAATATGTTCATGGTTTATCCTATATGGAAAGCTACCCATATTATAATGTCACAATCTGTTTGCTATAAAAATAATAACTGCTGTATATGACAGACAGTGATAATAAGGAATGAACGAAAACTCTATTTTAAAAATGTCATGGTTCTCTGCCCCGCCCCACCCTCCCAAAAGTTAACTGTGGCACGTAATTAGACAAATAAAATACTTGATGTATTCTTATTAAATTTTACATTGTCATCTAATGTTTATTTTATCAAAATTAATTTTAGTTTCTTTGCATTTTAATTTTTGAAACTAGCTATTGAATTATCACTGCAAGAGCAGAAACAGCAACACACAGAAACAAAATCCTTATATCCATCTGCAGAAATTCAGTTAAATAATAAGGTTGTACGGAAAGTGAGAGCTTTATATGATTTTGAAGCTGTTGAGGACAATGAACTCACCTTTAAACATGGTGAAATAATTATTGTTTTGGATGACAGGTATGTTTTAAATCTTTATGGGAAGTTTTAAAGTATAATATTCTTAATTTAGAATCCAGAGTGTTCAGTTCCTTGACTTATAGTGTATTTAAATCATATTAGAACCTTTTCATACCTTGTTTTTTTTTCTAAAATAAAAGACAAATAATGTGAGCCTCTTATCTTGTTATATTTGATAATTTATGTTTGTTATATTTGATAATTTATGTCTTGAATGAAAGATATGTTAAATAATGTTGATGACCACAATTGGGAAACATGTAAATATTCAGTCACTTGAATAAGTGTACGTTGGCAGTTGTGTGTACCAAAATTACTGGCAGAAAAACTTTAGAAAGAATATAGCTATATACCCTTGATTAAAGCAACCAAAAGCTGTACTTGGCTCCTCCCCAATTCTTAATCTACTACTGTACTGTCTTCACAATTTCTCTACCATTTAAAGCTGTCATAAAAAATAGATCAATCTCTGTGGAGCTTAATACTGTTCTGTACTTTTAAAAGAAAATCATGAAATTTAGCAAGAGTGAGAAGTAAGCTTGGTGCTATGAACATAGATTGCAGATGTATTTGGTATCCATTATAAATAATTTAGTAAGTTATTTATAACACAGTAGTATATTTCTAGTATATTTTTAAATAAAGGGGATAAGTAATGGTTTTACTTTGCTGTGGTAAATATTTAGTGAGAAAATGTTATGTAATCTACTATGTACAATGAATAACAAATGAGGACACCGTTCTGTCTTCATAAAATCTAGAATAAAGAAAGAGAGTTAAAATTACCACATAGAAAATTGTATAGAAGGCAGGATGTGGTGAATGCCATAAAAGAGGTGCTATTGGGGCCCAGATAGCAGATTTACACTTGGTGCAAGCATCTGGCAAAGAAGACTTATCCTGGGGCTCCATTTCAGGTATGTATCTTGATTAGTTTAGATAAGACAAAATTTTGCAAGAAATTGAAGATGGGAAAAGGAATGTCTCTTAGGCAATCAGGATAGTACCATCTTCACTTAAAGAAAATTTTTTAAATAACCATTTGGAGTGGAACACCATGATCCCTGAAGGAGAATAGATAGAAATACAGATGCTTGTCAACTTACATTAGTTTACAGTTGGGAAAAATAATCAAACACGAAACCTATTTTATAATAAAGTATTGAGTATCTCATGTAACATACTGAATGCTGTATTGAAAGTAAAAACCAGAATGGTTTATGTGTACCTGAGTGTGTATCACTTTTGCACCATCGTAAGTCATGCCATCATGAGTTGGAGACTTGTCTGTAAAGGCAGAGAGAGAATGTGAGCTCTGAACACTGACAGTCTGAAGTGTCAGGCTTAGGAGTGTCTTTTAGAGTACTTACAAAAGAACTTAGTTTTACAGTTTTGATACTCTTACACAACTATGAAGTTAAAGATATTTATAAAATAGCCTGGGCACAGTGGCTCATGCCTCTAATTCTAGCACTTTGGGAGGCCGAGGTGGGCGAATCATGAGATCAGTAGTTCAAGGCCAGCCCAGCCAGTATGGTGGAACCCTGTATCTAAAAAAAATATATATATATGAAAATTAGCTGAGTGTGGTGGCATGCACCTGTAGTCCCAGCTGCTCAAGACGCTGAGGCAGAAGCCCTTGAACCTGGGAGGCAGAGGTTGCAGTGACCCAAGATTGTGGCACTGTACTCCAGCCTGGGTGACAGAGTGAGACTCCACCTCAAAAAATAAAAAAATAAAAAAAGGCCGGGCGCGGTGGCTCAAGCCTGTAATCCCAGCACTTTGGGAGGCCGAGGCGGGTGGATCACGAGGTCAAGAGATTGAGACCATCCTGGTCAACAAGGTGAAACCCCGTCTCTACTAAAAATACAAAAAATTAGCTGGGCATGGTGGCGCATGCCTGTAATCCCAGCGACTCAGGAGGATGAGGCAGGAGAATTGCCTGAACCCAGGAGGTGGAGGTTGCGGCGCCATTGCACTCCAGCCTGGGTAACAAGAGCAAAACTCCGTCTCAAAAAAAAAAAAAATAAAATAAAAAAAGATATTTATAAAATATATAGAAATAAAATGAGTAGTTTTGTCTAAGATTCTAATTTAGAGCATTGCTTTTATATAACAAAATTTTCTGAAATCAATTGCTGCTCACAAGACAATTTTTAGTTAAGATTTATTACTGTAAAAAAGAACTTTTTTTATTTGTAATTGCTAAGAGAATTCAACGTGAATATGATGGAATATGTGGTCAGTTGCTGTCATTTTGATGATAGATCACCCCAATCTTACAGTTGCCATAAGCATGCTTATGTATAAAATATTGTCATTCTAGGTGATTGGTAATCACTGGTAGGATTTTAAACACAAATGCAAACTTGTGTGCTAAAGTTAAATGACAGTCTTCCATTAAAAGGAAGTCATCCAGAAAATGACTCTATTCGTTGTTTTTATATTTTTATGGAATTTAAAGCATAAAGTTTTCACATATAGATGTCCCTTGAAAATATATCGTTCTTAGATCTTTTTAAGAGCCATTGAGCTGACAGAAAAGGTGCACATTTCCTATCTTATCTATGTATCTATTTGTTTATTTATTTATTGTAACAGAATTTTGCTCTGTCGCCCAGGCTGGAGTGCACTGGCTCACTGCAACCCCCTCCTCCCAGGTTCAAATGATTCTCCTGCCTCAGCCTCGCCAGTAGCTGGGATTACAGGCATGCGCTTCTGTGTCATTTTTATAGTTTTGGTAGAGACTGGATTTCACCTTGTTGGCCAGGCTGGTCTCAAACTCCTGATACCAGGTGATCCGTCTGCCTCAGCCTCCCAAAGTGCTGGGATTACAGGCATGAGCCTCCATGCCCGGCCCAAAGGTGCACATTTTTCATTAACAGAGTATACCAAGAAAAGCCTTTCTTTTGTTACATTTTTAGGTTTATCTTACCACTCCACGTATGTATGTATGTATGTATGTTTCCTTCCTTCCTTTCCTTTCTTTCCTTCGACAGGGTCTTACTCTGCCGCCCAGGCTGGAGTACAGTGGTGTGATCTCAGCTCACTGTAATCCCTACCTCCCAGATTCAAACGATTCTCCCGCCTCAGCCTCCCAAGTAGCTGGGAATACAGGCGTGTACCACCACATCTGGCTAGTTTTTTGTATTTTTAGTAGAGACAGGGTTTCACTATATTGGCCAGGCTGGTCTCGAACTCCTGGCCTCAAGTGATCCACCCACCTCGACCTACCAAAGTGCTGGGATTACAGGCGTAAGCCGCTGTGCCTGGCCCACTCCATGTTTTCTGTGTACCGTTTCAAATAAGTGGAATTCTTGCAGTTCCAAAAATGCCATTTTCTGCTTAGACCTCCATTGTACCTTTGGTTCTGTCTGCCTGGAAAGCCCTGCTGAAGGAGGTAAAAGCATTTAGAAAAGAAAAAGAACTTTGCTTTTCAAGGACAGTTTGCAAGGGAGTCCAGGCTTTAGAAAAGTTGCCTCCCCATATTCAAAAATAAAACAGTTATTTTAAGGAAAAGACCCCTACAAGATTACCAAGTTTTTCCAGGTTTACAATTTATATTTTCATGGTAGAGATAGCAGTTTTCTTACAAGATTATTATATCCATAAAGGACATCACTACCCCAGCCATTGTCATTGCACAAGTTAGTGAGTACTTTTTGTTAAGAAGTCAGTAGTTAAAAGGAAAGGCTCAAGTTTTCATGTACTTTAAGACCTAAAACTAAATATGTTGATGTTTTTTGTTTTATCTCAGAGTGCAGTTTTTTGTTTCTTTGTGCCTTGTTTTCTTGATTATTGATAATGGCAGGAGGGCAAAATGTCATTTTTATTTCCAAAGCCGTAATTTTCTTTTTTTCCTGGCGAGTGCCTACTTGACCTTCAAAACCTGTGTCAGATTTTATATCCCCTGAGAAGCCTTTAAACGTTTCCCTTCTTTTTAGTTCCCAGTAGAGTTAGCATTTCCCTTCTTTGAGTTATAACTCTCTGAACATATATAACAGCATTTCTCATACTGTATTTTGATATGTAACTCATCTCTTTCTAGTGCTCATAAATGAAATGATGTTTCATAGTCATAGACATTAATTCATTCCTAAGACTCATACTTAAGAATGGCTGCTCGGTAAGTCAGATTTTTGGAAAGGAATCAATAAAAGTACCGTAATTTCCAGATGCTATGATTTTCCGTTTAGAAAGTTCCGGAGTCCAATGGACAAATGATTAAAGGTGGTAGGAGTTCATCAGGGTTGTTAGATACAAGCTTAACATACAAAACTTAGTAGTATGCTTTAATCACAACTGTTTAGAAAATGTAGCAGGAAAGTAAGTCATTCTCAGTAGTAACATAAAGTATATAAGTGATCTAGAAATGAATAAGCCTAACAAAGATATGTAAGGCCTTTATGGATTAAATCATAAAATTATTTGAAAGCCATAAAAGAATATAAATAGGTATTTACATGTTATGTATTTATATAAATGTAAATGGAGAAAGATACCATGTTCATAGGGAAGAAACCTTAATATTATAAAGATTTCCTTTTTCTTACATTATTGCATAATTTCGGTGCATTTCTAGTTCAATTCCCAACAGGACTTTTTCCCCAGAGAACTTAAAAAGTAATTTAATATTAATGTGGAAATTTGAAGTTATGCAATAAATGAGAAAGAGTAACATAGAAAGGGTATTTTCTCTAGCAGGTATTAAGGTACATTAACAAGATGTAGAAAATAGATATTGGATGCTGCAACAGAATGGAATCTAGAAATAGGCTCATGAACAGATTACTGTTTGAAAGGTAGAGTATTATAAATTAGTAGAAAAAATGACGGACTGTTTAATAAATTTTGTTGTGATGAATGGCTCTTTTTATAGTACAGATAAAATTTGATCAGTTTCAGGCTGGGCGCGGTGGCTCAAGCCTGTAATCCCAGCACTTTGGGAGGCCGAGGCGGGTGGATCACGAGGTCGAGAGATCGAGACTATCCTGGTCAACATGGTGAAACCCCGTCTCTACTAAAAATACAAAAAATTAGCTGGGCATGGGGGTGCGTGCCTGTAATCCCAGCTACTCAGGAGACTGAGGCAGGAGAATTGCCTGAACCCAGGAGACGGAGGTTGCGGTGAGCCGAGACCGCGCCATTGCACTCCAGCCTGGGTCACGTGAGTGAAACTCCGTCTCAAAAAAAAAAAAAAAAAAAAAAAATTTGATCAGTTTCACATAGTATGTAAAATTTCATTCCAAATGAATTAAAAATCTAAACATGGGAGAGGGAAAAAAGAAACGCCAAAGCTACAGTTAAGTATATAGGAGGATAGGTGTTAGGAGTTCAGGGGTAGAAAAAGGTAAAAGTGTAAGCCATAAAATATTGCCAAATGTGATTGCATAGGGGGAAAAAAAACCACTGTAGAATTAAACCATAAACATATGCTAAAAGACAGTGACAGTCTAGAAGAAGGTATTTGCATAATTCAGAGAAACAGTTGCTATCCAAAATATATAAAGAACTTATACAGGTCCATGAAAAAAGACAAATGACCCAGTAGAAAAAGAAACATGGGCAAAAAATATGAACAGGCAGTTTACAGAAAAGGCAATCTGAATAGCCAGCAAACACAAGTAGATGCTTGTAAATGCATACAATGAAATATGATTTCTCAGGAGCTGCAGTGGCTCAGGCCAGTTGTCCTGGTGCTTGGGGAGGCGAGCCTACACGTTTGAGGCCAGCCTGGGCAACATAAAAACCTCTCATTCATTAAAAAAAAAAAAGAAAGAAATATGATTTCTCTCCTCTCTATCAACTATTAGTTATGAATAAGCCCAGAGAAATTGTAGCATGTATACCCTCAAGTCTAGGATGATCATTACCGTAGTCTTTATAATGGTGAAAGACTGGAATCAACCTAAATGTCCATCTTTACAGGAATGGATAAATGTGACCTTTTGTATGATGGAATTTTAATTTAAAAGCAATAAGCAAAATCTAAAAGTATTAATATATAAAATTAAAGCAGTCTGTATGAATTAGCATCTATGTCTGCCTGTTTCTATATGGAGTTGGCTATAGATATGTGTAAAAGAACAAAAAACAGACTTAACAGGAAAGCTACTGACTTTATTGTGGTACTGTGGTGAGATGGATGTGGCGTTGGGATTTGGGGTTATTAATAAAGGGCACTTAAGTGTTTTCTGTTTACTTTTTTATTTTTTAATTATTATTTTTTTTTTGAGACAGAGTCTCACTGTCTTCCAGGCTGGAGTGCAGTGGCACGATCTCAGCTTACTGTAACCTCTGCCTCCTGGGTTCAAGCAATTCTCATGCTTCAGCCTCCTGAGTAGCTGAGATTACAGGCTCCTACCACCACATCATGCTGATTTTTATATTTTTAGTAGAGACAGGGTTTTGCCATGTTGGCCAGGCTAGTGTCAAACTCCTGACCTCAGGTGATCCATCCACCTCAGCCTCTCAAAGTGCTGGGATTACCGGCATGAGCCACCAAGCCTGACCTTACTTTCTTAAAGCCCAGAATCAAATATGATGAATTGCTAATTGGTTCTAATATTTTTGTTTTTTGAGACAGAGCCTTGCTGTGTTGCCTAGGCTGGAGTGCAGTAGCAGGATCTCAGCTCACTGTAGTCTCCTCCTCCCGGGTTCAAACAATTCTTCTGCCTTAGTCTCCCAAGAAGCTGGACTACAGCATGTGCCACCACACCTGGCTAATTTTTGTATTCTTAGTAGAGATGAGGTTTCACCATGTTGGCCAGGCTGATCTCAAACTCCTGACCTCAGGTGATCCTCCTACCTTGGCCTCCCAAAGCGCTGGGATTACAGGTGGGAGTCACTGTGCTTGGTGGCTCTAAGTTTAGATACAGGGATGTGGCTATTTGTTTTACTTATACTTTTTAATATCATTTATTAAATTTAAGAAAAATGACTTAATTATATCTACATGTAAACTAATTATTCAAAGGAGGCTAAATTTAATTTTTATTTTAATTCCTCTTTGCTATTTTATGAAAATTTGGAGGAACAAATGATATTTTTTGCACTGTATTTTTAGTGATGCCAATTGGTGGAAAGGAGAAAATCACAGAGGAATAGGACTCTTCCCATCCAATTTTGTAACAACTAATTTAAACATAGAGTCTGAGGCAGGTAAGTTAAATCTTAGAGAAGGTTAGAGCTATTTAAGTTTTTTTCACTTAAATTTTATGATTTAGTTTTGGATGTAAAGTAGATTGGCATTTAACTTTTGTTTTAAATCATTTATTTATAGGCATGACAAGCTAACCTCCTTTTTAACCAAATTAAGGGGTTAATTTAACCCATGTCAATCCCAAGAATTATTTCCTTTTATTTTAAATCCTCTTGAGAGTTCCCATACATAGTTAAATGTCAGGCATAAAATAATATGTGACCATGCAGGTATTTAAATCAACCTCAGCTCTTAACTATTCTGTTCAAAGAGTGTTTTGATTCGTTATTGAACCACAGTGGCAAAGGGGTGTGGTGTGGGGATCTTGTGGTTGGCAAGTGCCGAGTATGATTACAGGGGTTAGGAGTACCCCTAAATTTTAGACCTTTCCTCACCTTGATTTGATCCTAGGGAGCCTGAAACAATAATAAAGTAATGTAATCAAGCCACTAACATTCCTGGTTCAGATCTGCTGAACCTTTAGTCAGTCTGCTCTTTAGCCATTGTCAACTATATTGAGAAAGCATGCCATTTGATATTCAGGTAGGGAGGTGGGGGGATCTGAGTGTAAAGGAACAGCTCATACTAATATTAATGATGATAATCAGAAATAGTTACTGGTTTTTGAGCACTCATTATTTGTCAGGCATTGTGCTAAGTCATTTGTACTATTGCATTTCAATCTCACAGCTGTTTCAATCCTCACTTCTGTTGCCCTGTCTTACAGATAAGGACAATGAGGCTGAGAGGTTGTGTCTCTAGTAAGTGATTGAGGCAGGATTCTAAAGTAGGTCAGTCTGGCCTTACGCTGACTCACTGAAGATTTTATCAGTGCTAATCCTTGGCAGTTCAGGAGAAAGAACTTCAAATGAAAGCATTGTTCATCATGTGTAACATTGTCTTTGTATGTGTAGAGGCATACATTCAGAAAAATGAAGTTGTGAGAGGGCGATACTTACTGATTTGAATGTAGGGTACTTTGCCATTATTTATAGTTTTATTCCTCTTATCTGACTCTCTAGGAATACTGGAGACACCTTCAAAAAAGTTTATAGACCATACTCAGGGGATTCTATGTAGCAATTTCCTTTTGGCATAGGCTGGAGACTATTGAAAGGAAAAAATATTTTGGGTTTTCAATTTATCTCTGTGTTAGGCTGACTTCTGTTTTTTTGAAAGTTAGCTAAATATTTGAAATAAATGGCTAACAGCTGGGATTTAAAGTTGTTGGGCTACGTAGGTTTTTGTTGTAATTTTATTTTTACCAAAATTTACTTTGTTAAAATAGAGTACAAAATTTACTTTGTTAAAATAGAGTTTGTGTATTTGTAAATTTTTTTTCAACCTTCTCTTCTTGAAAAATTTCTTTGTTTAGTGTTGTTTTGACTTTTTATTTTGAGACGGAATCTTACTCTGTCGCCTGGGCTGGAATGCAAGCAATTATTGTGCCTCTGCCTCCCAAGTAGCTGGGACTATAAGCACATGCCGCCACACCCAGCTAATTTTTTGTATTTTAGTAGAGATGGGGTTTCACCTTGTTGCCCAGGCTGGTCTTGAACTCCTGAGCTCAGGCAGTCCACCCTCCTCAGCCTCTCAGAGTGCTAGTATTATGGGCGTGAGCCACTGCGCCTGGCCTTGTTTTAACTGTTATTGAAGTTGGCATAAAGTAAGTTTTATTTTTTGTTCATATAGGAAATATTTTTTTAATAGAAGGGAAGAGTGTAGAAGAAACTCATAGATGTAACTGTGAAAGTAGCTATATAATAATCTGCTCTCATGTATTTATTCACCCCATTGGTAGCACTCAGTTTTCAGGAAAATGCCTAAAATGTCTGCTGCTGTTAATATTGTAGACTTATTCCACTAGAATTTTAAGTTCCATGGGGTTAGGGATTCTTTCTGTTTTATTCACTGGTATGTGTATAAATGCCTAGAACAATGCCTGGCACATAATGAGTACTAAATAAATGTTTGTGAAATAAAGGACCAAATGTATGTAATAACATATTGCTTATAACATGTGGTGAATATATAAAGGGCTTCTGTTTTTTTTTTCTTTTTTCTTGTGGACAATCATAGGCCACTTATAAATTAATGACTAAAATTACTGAAGTAAATACTGGGGAACTTAAAGTTTACTTTGTTTCTATAGCGGCTGTGGACAAATTGAATGTAATTGATGATGATGTGGAGGAAATTAAGAAATCAGAGCCTGAGCCTGTTTATATAGATGAGGTAGAGTCCTTCTTTTGTTTAATAGTTAAACTGTCAAGACAATTTAAATGTACTATCTTTGAGATTGCTTGTAAAGAGTAATTTCATATTCACTGAAGTTAAAACTCCTGAGTTTTTAAAAAATGTCCTGTTACTTTTTCAGGATAAGATGGATAGAGCCCTGCAGGTACTTCAGAGTATAGATCCAACAGATTCAAAACCAGATTCCCAAGACCTTTTGGATTTAGAAGGTACTTAATGAATATTAGATATTATTTTAATATTATGTCATATTTTAGCTATTCATAATGTCGTCAGTTTCTTCTGCCTTGTGTTTACCTTTAGAAGTTAGAAATCTCTGGTGGGTAACAGACTAGTACAGTAAAAAAGTAAAAGTATTACTTGGAAGGTATTGTCATAAACCTGTAAATCCTTTTCATAAAGGAAGTCTTTGTATTTCTTTACCACTAGTAAAATTGGCTGAAGAGTTTTGCAGTCTGAAAAAGGACAGAATTAAAAACAACAGCATATTAAATTGAGTCAAAATGTTTAAAATGTTTGTTCCTGTTTAATTTTCTGGTACTATGAATTTAAAGGACAAAATTATACATGATCATTGTTAACTTCATAACTTAGTCACTTGATGTATGTTATGATTTTTAGTCTCTAAAATATGTGAAAATAATTAAAACATGTTTTTAAAAAAATCCTTTGGCAGAAAAATCTCTGGTAAATGAACAATTATTCTTAAATCTTTTTATAGAAGAAACATCTGGTTATGAATATAGAATACAGTATTGTGCTCTTCATTGTATCAGTGTTCACATTGGGAAATACACAGTATGCTTTATCTTAAATGTCTTAAATGAACAATCTTCATATCTGATGAGCAAATGGTTACATAGTTTATACACTGTGGCTTAAGTTTGTTTTAGTTAACTAACCATAGTTTTCTAGATGTCTTTAAGATTTGGGGATAACGCCAGATTTCACAGTCTGTCAACTTAGGTACTAGTTTCAAGAAAACGTAATATTTTAATATTATTAAATATTGCTTTTGACCTTGCTTTTAGTCACATGATAGTAATATGTAGTAGTAATGCTGAATAGTAGTCTTTCTCTAGCATGAGCTTAATATCTGTGTGTTATGCATAGCATTGTATATTGGTTCTATATTGTTAAAAATTGTTCAAATTGGCTTAAAGTGGATTAAGTTTCTGTATTTGTAAGTATTTTTGTATTTACAGATATCTGCCAGCAGATGGGTCCAATGATAGATGAAAAACTTGAAGAGATTGATAGGTGAGATTTTTTGTGCACGGAATAAAAAGTATAGTTTTGGGGGGTTCACTTGTTTTTTGCAAACAGTAAAGTAGGGAAAGTTTTGTGGAACTGTACAATTCATGGAAATTGTTTTCCAGTTTCCCAAACTCTTACAAACTTATAGCAAGTTGGTGCTTTTTATTTTTTGTTTTTCTAAAAAACAAGCTCTGGTAAGTGTTTTTAAAGACAAATTTTGCATGGCTTCCTTTTCACCAGTCTGTTCCAGCATGCTTCCAGTGATGTTAGAACTGCCTGGATCAGTGATGGCTAGTATGCATACTCTCAGTATTTTCTGCATGCTGTGCCCATCGTTGCCACTGTAGTGATGGACAGCAGTTTTGGCCATCATCGTATAGTACTCTATTTCAGATTTCCTTAAAGCTGGACAGTCTTAGTGAGGATGCCCAATTTTGCTTTGTCTTATCTGATCATCTTCAGAGTGTGCTTTTACCCTAGCACACACTTTCTACTTTTCATAACAAGTTGGAGCCTAGAGTTGATCAGCTCCACTGACTTTTTCATCTTCTTTGCGGCCATTTGCCTTAGGTCCAGGATGACCCCCAACTAAGAGCAGCTGCCAAGATGGCCAGAAGCCTGGTGCTTTTTATTGAGATAACTGTCTTTTTATTTTTTCCTATGGCAAAACAGTATATTTAGAATCATGGACTCTTGCTCTTAATGCGTCAGCCTTTATTTCTAACTTGGGCTGGAATTAAAGGGATAATGGGTAGTAAAGAATAAAATGAATAGATGAGAAAATCAGAACAGGAATCCTAAGCAAGAATTGAATCCTTTTTTTTTTTTGAAACGGAGTAGCCCTCTGTTGCCCAGGCTGGAGTGCAGTGGCGCAATCTTCGTGGCTCACTGCAACCTCCATCTCTCGGGTTCAAGAAATTCTCCTGCCTCAGCCTCTTGAATAGTTAGGATTACAGGGGTGCACCACCATTCCTGGCTAATTTTTGTGTTTTTAGTAGGACAGGGTTTCACTGTGTTGGCCAGGCTGGTCTCGAACTCCTGACCTCATAATCCACCCACCTTGGCCTCCTAAAGTGCTGGGATTACAGGCGTGAACCACTGTGCCTAGCCAAGACTTTTTTTTTTTTTTTTGAGACGGAGTTTCGCTCTTGTTACCCAGGCTGTAGTGCAATGGCGCGATCTCGGCTCTCCGCAACTTCCGCCTCCTGGGTTCAGGCAATTCTTCTGCCTCAGCCTCCTGAGTAGCTGGGATTACAGGCACATGCCACCATGCCCAGCTGAATTTTTGTATTTTTAGTAGAGACGGGGTTTCACCATGCTGACCAGGATGGTCTCGTGATCCACCCGCCTCGGCCTCCCAAAGTGCTGGGATTACAGGCGTGAGCCACCGTGCCCGGCCAAGACTTGAATTCTAATGTGATAAGAAGTGGTACTTATAAAAATTTCAAATGAAAATTCTCTAGTGTTTGTGAAGCTAAATCACACCTTCTGTTCTCATTTCTGATCCTTGTATTTCTTTGTTTCTATTACCCTTTTAATTTTATCTTACATAGTTTTCTTTTTCTTTTTTTTGAGACAGAGTCTCACTCTGTCACCCAGGCTGGAGTGCAGTGGCACGATCTTGGCTCACGGCAGCCTCCACCTCCCAGGTTTAAGCAATTCTCTGCCTCAGCCTCCCAAGTAGCTGGGATTACAGGCACCCGCCACCATGCCTGGCTAATTTTTATATTTTTAGTAGAGACAGGGTTTTCTTGGCCAGGCTGGTCTTGAACTCCTGACCTCATGATCCACCCACCTCAGCCTCCCAAAGTGCTGAGATTACAGATGTGAGCCACTTTGGCCGGCCTATTTTTCTTTTTTTAAAATTATTATTGTTTTTGAAAACAGGTTCTCTGTTGCTCAGGCCCAAGGGATCCTCCTGCCTCAGGCTCCCTAGTAACTACAGGTGTGTGCCACCACACTCAGGTTTTTTTTTAAAGACAGGGTCTTAGTAAGCTGCCCAGGCTGGTCTCAAACTCCTGGCCACAAGTGATCTTCCTGCCTCAGCCTCCCTAAGTGCTGGGATCATAGGCATTAGCCACCTTGTCTGGCCCTTATTTTTCTTTAAAAACAGGAGCAATACTGAAGGATAGACTATCAGGATTTTGAGCTTTTAACTTGGTCTGCTCCCTTATTTCTCACCTCTCTATCTGAAGTCAGAGGGAGAAGCCATAGTGAATGGAAAACAAGGGATAGGGCTTAGTATTCCATCATCATCCCTTTCTAGCCATATTTATTGAATTAATATATAAACAACACAAAAAGAAGGGATTAGATAGGACCAAAATAAGAAGGAGAATAGAAACTACTTCTCTTCTGCCTCTACCAGAGAAGTACAGTAGCAGCAAGACTTTTCCTAGTCACCAAAGATTGTCATCTTTGTTCCAGAGGGCATTTTAAAAATAAATTTATTGTGTTTTCTAAAGAAATGAAAAATCCCTGTGGCAGTTGACAGTTTTGCCATATTTTAGAGAAAGCATTAAGTATCTATTTACACATCTACTTTGTTTCAATGCAGGGATGTTAGTGGTTAATGGATAAACAACTGGAAAAGATTGAAAAATATTATCATAGATGAGGCTAAGAGTACAATTATTAGGAACTTTTCTGGAGCTTAAAAATAGTTCTTTTTCTTTTTGAGATGGAGTCTCACTCTGTTGCCCAGCTGGAGTGCAGTGGCATGATCTCGGCTCACTGCCACCTCCGCCTCCCAGGTTCAAGTGATTCTCCTGCCTCAGCCTCCAGAGTAGCTGGGACTAGAGGCAAGGTACCACCATGCCTGACTAATTTTTGTATTTTTAGTGGAGATGGGGTTTCATCATGCTGTCCAGGCTGGTCTCAAATTCCTGACCCTCATGATACACCTGCCTTGGCCTCCCAAAGTATTAGGATTACAGGAGTGAGCCACCATGCCCGGCCTTTTTTGTTTTTTATAGAGGGAGTCTCACTGTATCGCCCAGGCGAGAGTGCAGTGGCATCATGTTGGCTCACTGAAACCTTGGTCCCTTGCCTCAGCCTCCTGAGTAGCTGGGATTGCAGGTACCCCATCACCGTGCCCAGCTAATTTTTATATTTTTAGTAGAGATGGGGTTTCACCATGTTGGCCAACCTGGTCTCGGACTCCTGACCTCAGGTCATCTGCCTGCCTCGACCTCTCAAAGTGCTGGGATTACAGGCATGAGCCACCACACCTGGCCAATAGTCCATATTCTTTAGCACAGCAGTTTCAAGCCCATACTAAATACATAGGGATAGATGCAAAGATTTAGCTTTTAAGATACTCAGTAACCGTTATTTATGACATCAAAATTGGAAATAACAATAATGTCTTTCATTATGAGATTGGTTTACCAGTCATCCCTTGATGTTCATGGGGGATTGGTTCCAGGACCTCCCAAGGATACCAAAATCCACAGATCCTTGTCTCTGAAATGAAATGGTATAGTATTTGCATATAACATTTGCACATCCTCTTATATACTTTAAATAATCTCTAGGTTACTTATAATACCTAACACATTGTAAAGGCTATATAAATACTTGTTATGCTGTATGGTCTAGATAATAATGACATGTACATGTTTAGTTCAGACATAATTTTTTTTTTTTTTGTATTTTCAATTTGAAGTTGGTTGAGTGCGCTGGTGCAGAACACATGGACATGGAGGGCTGAGTGTATGTCCACACATTCTACAATGAAAATCGTCCTTGATAATTGTCCCTTGATATGAACAGATACCATAATATATAATGAAAAAGTCAGGAGTTGTGACAGTTTAATCTTATTTTTTGTTGGTAAAAAGAATTTTGTTAAAGGAAAAGATCTAGAAGAATTAGAAGTCAGAGTGAGGCTGCCAGTATTGGGGCTCACACCTATAATCCCAGCATTTCAGAAGGCCAAAGTGGGAGGATCATGTGAGCCCAGGAATTTGAGACCAGCTTGGGCAATGTAGTGAGACACTATTTCTACAAAAAGAGTTTTTAAGCAATTAGCCAGGCTTGGTGGTGTGCACCCATAGTCCCAGCTCCTCAGGAGGCTGAGGTGGGAAGAAAGCTTGAGCCTGGGAGGTCAAGGAGGCTTTGGTGAGCCACGGTTGCACCACTGCACTCCAGCCTGGGTGACACAATGAGATCCTGTCCCAAAAGAAAAAAAAAATCAAAGTGACCGTTCTGATATTAATTTTTTGAGTGAGAATTCAACCATTAACCAGTTTTCTTAACCAGTTTCAGTTTTTGAATAGGCCAACTGGCACTTTTTCTTGTTCCATGGCCACAGCTGCAGATGCAGCTTCTCTTCTGGGAAATGTTTCCTGTTCTTCAACAAATTCTTATTGACTATTATTTACCCTTGTGAAGTATTCAGAGATGAATAAAATATTTTTTCTCTTGAATGGATCATCATGTTTATTATTCCTACTAGGAAAAACAACTCTACTGTTATAAAGTTAAATTGTACATTTCATTTCTATCTGTCATTGTACAGAATGAAAATTTTTTAGCATTTTATCACCCTAAGAAATTATATTGAGTAAACATGTAATTAACTCCAAAAAAGTTTAGGTAGATTTGTTGAAGGGAGATTCATAGTCTGACCTTAACTATGCTCCAGACTGTTTTATTTCCTCCTGTCCTCCAAAGATAATTTTCTACCACCCTGATCAAGTTGCTCTTTTGCCCTGTTACTCTGGGATTGTGTCTCAAATCTTTAAGAGAATTTCAAACACAGTGATCATGTCTTGCTACTGCATTTTCCTGGTGTTTCATCAGCTTACTAGGTTTTGTGGATCAGATACCTACAGTTAAATTTTAGTTACACATTTGTTAGCATGGCATTAATTTCTGTAGCTTTCTGGGTGGTTTGTAACTGTTATTTTTGATCATAGAGTTTGACCTGCTTAATGCAGTCATTCCTACCATAGAGGGAACAAACTTTTTGTTCTTGTTGTTCAGACATAACAGATTATAATAGAAGAAAGGTGACAAGTCTTGATAGTACTCAGTCCAGGCCATTTACCTGGTAGTCCTCTGTCTGTTTGTGTGCCTCTGCTTGTTGCCTGTGTTTCTATAGAAAAAACCACATTCAATAAAAAGGCTTGTGTTTCAGGCCAGATAAAAGTGGTTGCTTAACTTTTATAAATTTCTCAGTTGCAAAGAGAGTTCTTTATTACTCCCAGGGGAACAGACAAAATTGTGTCAAGTAGGAAGAGTTTGCTCTGAAGTTTCTTGGCCAGATTTGAAGATGCTTTATTTGGATTTGTGGTTATTACACAATAAAGTATTGGGTTTTACTTTCTCAAAATAAAACATCCAACAAATGAGCATTAGACACTAGTCTTACACATTGTTTTTACTTGGATTTTCAAGGATAATTATTTAAGTAGGTTTTTTTCAGTTGATTCTTTCATGGATGTAAACAAATGAAAATGTGTGTGTGTGTTTTTTTTTTTTTTAAACAAGCGTTTTAAAATTTCTATCATATTATACTTCATAGAGGTTCTGGACCTTGCCTGGGTACTTTCTTTTATTGAGATTTGTAATTGAGGCCGAGATTCTTACATAATTTGAGAATTTTATTTTTAATAGTTGAATTCTCAACAAAAGGCTGGAATGTGTGAAAGTAAATTCTTTCAGCACCAAAATTATGAATTGATTGCATTTTATGAGGCATGGAAAGTACTTTTCCCTAATACTATAAAGTCATATTGTCACTGGGAGAGGGGTATGACTGCGAGTTGTCTAGGTTCTTGGCATTTTGGACAAATAATTGAACAAAATGCCCAGCAAACCAGAGGAGGAATGAAGCAAAAAAAGAATGAAAGCAGGGATTTATTGAAAATGAAAGTATACTTCACAGCGTGGGAGCGGGCCTTAGCAGTGGCTCAAGGGCCTGGATACAGAACCTTGTTGGGTCCAAGTACCCTCTAGAAGTTTACCCTTGACCACTTCAAACTCACCTCATGTAAATGAAGGGGTAGCTCACAATCAGTCAGATAGGTTGCAGAAAGTAGCCAACCAGAGGCTGAAATGAATTTACAAAGGTCACACTGCTTTACAGACATCTGATTGGTTGCAAAAAACTTTTTGCAACCAATCAGAGGCTAGGATGAAGTTACAAAGTTATAATTCTATGCAAATGAAGACTCCACCCACAGTCGATCTGATTGGTTATAGATAGCAATCATTCAGAGGCTGGAGCAGCCATTCAGTGACTTGTTTGTGGACAGCCCCATTCAGAGGCTGAAGTTACAAAGTTGCAAATGAGGACTGGACCTGCTATCAGTCTGATTTTTTTTCTGACAGCCAGTTTCCCATTGTGGGGCAGGGGTTTGCAAAGGGAATATCTTGTTTCTTTTCTTACTTAGGTGTGGAAAGTTTGGGTTGGTTTTCCTAATTTAGTTATAGGAAGTCAGCATGAAACAGCCTTAGGTTTCCTGCCTCTAGACCCTATTCTCCTGCCTCAGTATCAGCCTAGCTATTATAAGGATTAAGCAGTTCTTCCTCTCAGTTTCCCTTTGTGAATATGCTTTCGTTAAATATTAAGAGAGCCTTTTAATATATGAATAGAAATTGTACTAAATTAAAAAACAAATTTGTGTTACTAAATACATCCTAAAAACTAGAAGAATATTATAATAACTTTCTCCTACATCAGGAAGCATTCAGAATTGTCTGAATTGAATGTAAAAGTCTTGGAAGCTCTGGAACTATATAACAAATTGGTGAATGAAGCACCAGTATACTCAGTCTATTCAAAGCTCCACCCTCCAGCACATTACCCACCTGCATCATCTGTGGTTCCAATGCAGGTGAGCATGTTTTTCGAGAACATTTTCTAAATTATAAACAAGTTTTAAAGTAAAAGAAAATGTTTTACAGCATAGTATTAAGATTTCTATTGTCTGTGAATAGAATTATAAAACTTATCTTTGTTTTAGTAAATTTTGGTTAAACAATTAACATTCACCAAAACAAGTTAGGCAGATACTCATATTTCACATTTTAGTTCAATTTTAACATAGATGAAAAGACCATTCAATATGTGAGGGTAGTTCCGGTTCTTCATATGGTTTTGTAATTATAAAACATAAATCTTTTATGTAAGTATAAATCCTTTTTGTAAATGTGGAATACATATATCTTTTTTTTGAGACGGAGTCTCTGTCACCCAGGCTGGAGTGCAGTGGTGTGATCTCGGCTCACTACAACCTCTGCCTCCTGGGATCAAGTGATTCTCCTGCCTCAGCCTCCTGAGTAGCTGGCTCCACAGGCGCATGCCACCACACCCGGCTAATTTTTTATTTTTAGTAGAGACAGAGTTTGACCATAATTCCTGACCTCAGGTGATCCACCTGCCTTGGCCTCCCAAAGTGCTGGGTTTACAGTCATGAGCCACCATGCCTGGGGAGTATAAATCTTTTGATTTGGGACAGTACCTGACATATCAGAATTCCCCCAGGTGAGGTACTAATGCTGTTCCTAATGTTTGACAAGATTTAACATTTCATGTAAAATGTCCATAAAGATTTGACTTACATGATTATTAACAGGCACAATGAACTTCTTGATGAGTATGCTTTATACTTCCTTTTCTTAGCTGCATGACTTAAATGGTTAAAAATTTATGCATAGCAAAGGTATACAGATCTAGGAGGTACAGACTCCATAAGCCAGCCATGAACAGCATCTTTTTCCAGTACTTATCACGTTTTTTGTGTGCTTGACATATGAAGTGAATACTTACATTTGTCAGTATCCCCATTCAGAAGTGTTTTTGAAATTTCAGCCAATTAGCCAATTGAATTCAGAATGAGCTTAGATGAGCAAAATTCATGTTAATTTATGAAAACTGGTATATAAAGGTGCATGTGAAGGAGACACCCAAGGAGAAAGGGTAGAAGGTGGGTGCATAATTTAGATGACTTGACACAACATAATTGTTAAGTAAAAAAAGAATAGTCACCATGGTAACTGTCACATCAGACAAGATACATTTATCAAATATGCCATGCCTTGATCTTTTTGAAAATTAGGAGGGTAGGAAAGATTTCTGGCGCAAAAGACATTTGGGGTTTATTCAGTATTGCTTCTATTTTCAGAGTTGTTTGCTGCTGCTGTGAAAGTGGAACAAAACAGCAATGTCTGCACCATTGTATGATAAAACTATGTTTGCTTTTTTGTGTGTTTGTAAAGGGTTATTTGCCATTATGTGTCAGGTTTTGGTGTTTAGTCACATTCTATTTACAGACTGCGTTTTGCCAAGCACAACTCATTTCTCTAAAAAGTTAACTTTATTTCTGTTTGACTCCTCACATAACCTGTATCTAAACTGTTCACTTATAGGAGCATTTGAAATATTCAAAAGTTTTTCTTCTAATTTGACAAAAATATATCTCTACTAGAAGCAGTTGGGATAACACATTAGTTATATCTGTGTAGGCTACTCAGGAAACCTAAACTGCAGAAGTTCATTTTCACAGTCCTAGCCTATTGTCAGTAGATCGTTAAATGTCTGCTAAGGAGGTAATGTGATTGTACTTAATATAGTTTATTTGGCATTTCTAGCATCCTAAATTTTCATATGAATGGTCTTTGCTTTAAAAATAGCTTAATTTAAAACTGGATTGATGATCATTGTGATATGATATGATATTAAATGGATGCATTGTTTTGAGGCTATATATGGTAGACAGGTGGTGGACCCTGTCCTTAAGGAGCTGTTGTCCTGAAAATAACTAGGGCACATAAAAATGTCCAAAGAGACCTAGACCATTTTTGCTATTTCCTGAAGATACATGTCTTTTACCCACAACTCTTCTTTTCTTTTGTCCTGTTTGTCTTAAAGGCAGGAAATAAACATTGCCTCGGAAGGCCTGGCGCCCTTATACCATTTCCTTTTCAGCTTTTTCTCTTAAGTTTTATTCTTAGGAAGGAATTGGATGAGTCACCCTGAGATGAGGATAAAGAAAGTTATCATTCTCATAGTGACTTGAAGTAATGGTGGGCTTCCCTTCAAGGGAGTGTGTAGTTTTCTGTGGCTCTACAGCAAGACATGTTTACTGAGTAATAGGCAACCTGGATAGATTGTAATCCACTACTTAAAAGTACACCACCTGTCTTTCATCCAGCTTGCTGTAAAAATAAAAGAACAGTCAAACAAATCAAATTTCCATAGATTTGGCACTGTGATTTGACAGCTCTCCACTTTTAGTTCTAAGATGGATAGATTGGTAGAATCAGATTGCTTCTCAAAGAACTATATTTTCTTTCCTATAAGTCTTTTAACACTTTATTTATTTATTTATTTTTATGTATTATTATTATTATTATTTTTTAACATTTTAAATATTAGGCACATGTTTGGGAGATCAGTGAATCAACTTTTTCTTTTTGATTACTAGACATATCCAGTTCAATCACATGGTGGGAACTATATGGGTCAGAGCGTTCACCAAGTAACGGTTGCCCAAAGCTATAGCCTAGGACCAGATCAAATTGGTCCACTGAGATCTCTGCCTCCAAATGTGAATTCCTCAGTGACAACACATTCTGCTCAAACTTCCTATTTAAGGTAAGTTTTGGGAACTGTGTTACTTTTGTAATTTTATGTGTTAATTTTCCTAGATTTTCAGAATGAGAATATATAGACCCTTATTAAGATGAAGTTACAGAACTGTTTATTCATAATCTTGTGAAGTGGAATGGTGGGACCTTAGCTTTGCTACCCATACTGAGATGGTCGCCCTTACTTAAGCTTGTAGTCTGCATCCCTGGGACAAAATAAAGCTAATTGTTCTTTATGAGACTAAGCCCATGATGTGCTTAGCACTGTGGTATAATCAGCCTGTAAAGTAGTCCCAGACTTAATTATCTGCATGCACTCCTAAAAATTAGAAAACTTGTTACTTTGACCCTTAAAAAGAAGGGTGTTTGAACTATAAAATTTGTAGTTAAGTTTTTTTTTTTTTTTCCAAGACAGAGTCTTGGCCGGGCACGGTGACTCACACCTGTAATCCCACCAGCACTTTGGGAGACCAAGGCAGGCAGATCACAAGGTCAGGAGTTCCAGACCAGCCTGACCAACATGGTGAAAACCCATCTCTACTAAAAATACAAAAGTTAGTTGGGCGTGGTGGCTTGTGCCTGTAATCCCAGCTACTCGGGAGGCTGAAGCAGGAGAATCGCTTGAACCCAGGAAACAGAGGTTGCAGTGAGCTCAGATCGTTCCATTGCACTCCAGCCTGGTGACAGAGCAATTCCGTCTCAAAGAAAAAAAGATGGATCTGACTTGGTCACCCAGGCTGGAGTGCAGTGGCGTGATCTCAGCTCACTACAGCCTTGACCTCCAGGTCTCAAGTGATTCACCCACCTCAGCCTCTCGAGTAGCAGGGACTACAGGTGAGTACCAGCATGCTTGGCTAATTTTTGTATATATATATTTTTTTTTGTCAAGATGGGGTTTCACCATGTTGCCCAGGCTGGTCTCAAACTCCTCAGCCCAAGGGATCTGCCTGCTGTGGCCTCCCAAAGTGATAGGATTGCAGACGTGCACCAGTGCACCCAGTCCTGTAGTTCTGTTTTTTAATAAAAACACTTCTACTCTGAAAGTTATATTTAAAGCTTCCTTTCTATTCACTTTGTTTAACCATACAAAATGTTCATTCAATATAATAATATGTAGATGATCTCTAAGGTCTCTTCCCACCCTCAAATTCCATGAGTATGAATTTTAAATAGTATATGAAAATTAAATAAATCTCATATTAGTGTTCAGTTAGAATAAAATACAAAATTTTGCCATCCTTGGTGACACTAGTAATTATGGAGAAAAAACTGGTGTAGTGTTGAAACTAATTCTCTTTTATTGTAAGCGGTGTATTTGGTGGAATTTAAAATTACATAATTTTAATTAAAACTGTTTTTAAATAGATGGGGTTTTATCACCCAGGCTGGAGTATGTGGTGTGATCATAGCTCACTGCAGCCTCCAACTCCCAGGCTTAAGGGATCTTCTAAAACCTCTGCCTCCTGAGGAGCTGAGACCACAGGTGCATACTATGCCCAGCTAAAGTTTTTAATTTTTTGTAGAGATGAGTATTGCTATGTTGCCCGGGCTGGTCTCAAACCAGCCTGGCTTTAAGCAGACCTCTTATGTTGGCCGCCCAAAATGCTGAGATTAGAGGCGTGAGCCTCCAAGCTCAGCCCTAAAATTACATGTATTTCAAGAGAAATGTATGCCATAATAGTTATAGGAACAGACAGAAGTCCTGCAATTTGGTGAGATTTTTCAGCATAGTTTGTGAAGTGTCAGTAGATAAACTATAGTTTTGGACTATCCTGAGGGTAGATTTTGGGTCCTATACAGACTGTACTGTTTTTCCTTTGAAAGTAAAAAGTGATTACTGAAGGAAAGCTTGAAGGATATTTGCAGAGAAGAGGTGGACTTCTTTGCGCTTGATTTGGAGATGGGGAAAGGAGAATGTAGGCTGAAGGTGGCATCTTGAGCCAGGGCTTCATTCTCATTGCAACCGGCCGAGGGTACTTCCATCAGAAACAGTTTGCATCGCCTCAGATGGTTTCTAAATGTTTTTAGTTAGAGATTCTGGAGAAGGCAAGTTAAATCGGCCTTAGAATCTTACATGTTATTTCTTTTCAAGTAACCTGTCTCTTCTTACCAAATATAAAACTACATTAACAAGCCCAGCGTGGTGGCTCACACCTGTAATTTCAACACTTTGGAAGGCCAAGGCCAGAGGATCACTTGAGCCCAGGTGTTTGAGACCATCCTGGGCAACATAGCAAGACCCAGTCTCTACAAAAAAGAAATTTTTTTTAATTAGTCAGGAGTGGTGGTACACCTCTAGTCGCGGCTACTGAGGAGACTGAGGCAGGAGGACTGTTTAAGCCTAGGAGTTTGAGAATGCAGTGAGCTATGATCTGCACCCCAGCCTGGGCAACAGAGCAGGATCCCATCTCAAAAAAAAAGAAAATTTGATTAACAGTATTCAGTGGCTGGAGTGATTAAATTGTAATCAGAACAGCAGAGCTACATAAACTTAAAAAGAAGATGGAAAAGGCATTTTTGTCATGATGGTTGATCTCTAACTGTAACCTAGATATTGCAAAGTAAATATGGTTTTCTTTATAAAATTTTGTTTGTAGCACTGGACAAGACACTGTTTCCAATCCTACTTATATGAACCAGAAATCTAACCTACGATCAGCTACTGGTACAACTGCTTACACACAGCAAATGGGGATGTCTGTGGATATGCCATCTTATCAGAACACTGCTTCCAATTTGCCTCAACTGGCAGGCTTTCCGGTGACAGTTCCAGCTCATCCAGTTGCACAGCAGCACACAAATTACCATCAGCAGCCTCTCCTTTAGAAACAAAGCAGCCATTTTCTTGAAAGCCTTCATAGGTGTATTATTCAATCCTTGTGATTCCAACCTGAAAACATTGAAACTTTTTTCCTCTCAATTCAAAAGGACTATGAATGAATAAAGCACAAAAACCTCTCATACTCTATAAGGCCATAAAACGTCTTTTTTTTTTTCAGTCCAGTTTGTTTGAAGTCAATCTTTTGATTAGAGACAGCTTAAAGATGCTTTCAGTTAGTTTTGTCTTACTTTCCGATTTATCTACATAAATCTAGATACCCGTTAGGTAGCCTTATGACACTAAACAGTATGAAGTAGGAGTGTTAAAATATTATTTTAAAGAAACCACTGTTTTCCCCTAAAATGTCATAAGAGCACTGAAGAACTTGAAATATTTTTTTCAGAGTGTCTCACTAACTTTTTTGTTTGTAAGCATTTAGCTTGCCAGCATATTTCCTTTTGGCTCCTTAAATTGCAGTTGTGTTTGCAGTATTGTCGCTTTTGCTCTCACTGATACGTTGAGTAGTAATTAGCATATAAGCAAGAGCAATTTGGAAGGAACAAAAATGTTTTCTGTGATTAACAGTGAAGACCTTATAAATGCAGATGTGTGATAAAGCATCTAGTCAGTTCCCCCAGCCAGTCAGGCCAACTGTGCAGGAATTTGTCCCACAAAACATTTCCATTCCCTAAGGAAAAACATTTCCTTTTCTCCATGTATCTCTGGTATTTAGAATTGCCACTAGTAACCTTTTCAAGTGACTTTGGCTATTCTCTAATGAAGATAGGTCCATTTGTTTTTCTCCCTGCAATATGGTATGCAGAGATGCTGCATATCCTTTTTATGGGATCATGTGAGTTTGAGCCATGAGACATTCCTAATAATTTGTTGTGAGATATACCAAGCATGGATGATAAGTGTGTTTTTAGTGATGTGTTTTTTTTTTTTTTTTTTTTTTTAAGTAATTCAAGTACTGTTGCTAAGCTGTCAGCATACCAAGCTGTTGAAAAAATCGACCATTTCTTTGTGAAGTAATTCTGCGCCTGGGGAATAATAGCAGGTGATGACTTCATAGAAGATGACAGGTTGATAGGGAGGCTATTGAAGCAGTTTTTCTGAAGCCCGTATTTTGAGTTAGTTTATAGTGCTAATAGGTTCTATGTAACTGTGGGAGTTTGGTAGTAAGCCAGTAGGGATTATTTTCTCTCCTAAAAATTTGCACACTACTTCATCGTCTACCAATTTTTTACATAATGCAAAATAGAAATTGCAAATACATATGCATATGGAAACATATTTAGACTGGGAAAAACAATGGACATTAGTTTTTAAAAAGTTACTTGCATAGAAGCAAGATTTCTGTATTTGTTTTTTTAAAGCAGTCAGTCTTACTACTAAATCCATTTCAAGATAGTTCTCTGAGAATTTTGTTATTTATCTACAGAGATTTGATTATAAATATGTTCCTTTTTCAAAGAAACTTTGTCCTAGAACAGAGTAGTCTATATGGGACTGGATCTACATTTAAATGGAAAAATTAGCAGTATTTGAAAGCTCAGTTTATGTCTTACTTCAGATACAAAAAACTGAACAGAAAGTTTTAACCTTTAATAGCTCCTGTCCTGTTTTTCATTCAGTATTTTCCTATATGTTAATTCAGTTATAAACTTCTGAATGGCACCTTTTTGGAAACAAATTTGTTCTTTACAAAATAATAATTTTTAAAAACCATTAAAAAATCCAGAGCTGCTCTTGGTAATAGTCAACATTTGCATATATATGGAATTTCTTACATTTTTTCTCCCAAACTGTATTTAATAAACTTATTTTAATGTTTGTGTATTTCATGTATAATTGTGATCTCAGATATAAAAGCTTAATTCAGCATGTCTTTGAGCCAGTATAAATACTGCACAGCCACTAAATTGGGATCAGCCATTATAAATAATATAGTTTTAGAATAATAAAACATCACACACACACACACACACACACACACACACACATATATAGTGTATATTGACACATTGATAAAAGTTTATACATGAAGTTTTTTTTCTCTTAAACTAATAATTTTTTTCCATATCTAATAAATTTTGTGTTGCAGGCTGTTGAAAGATAAAAATGATTTTAAATCTGTGTACTGATGATTCTTTCGGTGTTAAGAAACACAAGGTTGTTTTCTTTCCTTTTTATGGGCTTACCGGTTCTATTTATATTAAGACCTGTTTATAATTGTTTTCTGCCAAAGGAATTGTCTACCGTCAGATTTCTACATTGGGTTCATACTTACTGTTTTATATTAGAAGTAAAAAATAGCACCTGCTTTTTCATATGAAATCTTGGTATATCATAAAGAATTCCTGAACATTTATAATAGAATAAATTTTATTAATGTAGAAAATATCTCAGAGTGTTAAAATATATGAAGTGTGGGATATATTCTTACAGTTTGTAAAATGTACAGTCAACCAATATTGTCTTCTAATTTGGTAATTTATAAAATTACTTAAACAGGTAATTATTAGGATTTGAAATTATTTGTAGATAAATTGTCATGCTATTTCGAATAATTGACACTTTGACTACATAATACATTTTACTGTATGATTTGAAGGTGGTTATAGTTTCATTTTTCAAAATTTAGAAAGTTGATTTTAAATGTTTTAGGTATATATAGCTTAGGGATTTTTTTAAAAAAAGGCTTTCTTAGTAAAAACCATAAATTTAAAAGCTATTTAAACCATAATTCAGCCAGTAAATTAAAGGGGAAGACTCAGTTTTAGGGATTAGATTTTTTTTTTTGTTTGGTTTAGCTTTCTTTCAAAACTTAAAGGTTTATTTCTAAAAGTTTTCCCCAGAGTCCAGGTACAGTGGCTCATGCCTGTAATCCCAGCACTTTGGGAGGCTGAGGTGGGAGGATTGCTTGAGGCTAGGAGTTTGAGACCAGCCTGGCAACATGGCAAGACCCCATGTCTACAAAAATTTTAAAACTTAGCCAGGCATGGTCGTGCACCTGTAGTCCCAGCTACTCAGTAGGCTGAGATGAGAGTGTTGCCTGAGGCTGCAGTGAGGCCTGATCATGCTACTGCACTCAAGCCTGGGTGACAAGAGTAAGATCCTGTCTCAAAAAGAAACTTCTGGGTAGTTCACGAGACTTGCCGAAGGCTTCCTCTTTCATCTGGGCCACCAACATGCCATCCAGAATGAGGAAGACCCAGAAACTTCGGGGCCACGTGAGCCACGGCTACGGCCCCATTGACAAGCACCGGAAGCACCCCAGAGGCCGAGGTAATGCTAGTGGTATGCATCACCACAGGATCAACTTTGACAAATACCACCCAGGTTACTTTAGGAAAGTTGGCATGAGGTACCACTTAAAGAGGAACCAGAGCTTCTGCCCACCTGTCATCCGTGACAGATTGTGGACCTTGATTAGTGAATGCTGCTAAAAACAAGACTGGGGCTGCTCCCATAACTGATGTGGTGTGATTGGGCTACTACAAAGTTCTGGGCAAGGGAAAGCTCCCAAAGTAACCTGTCATCGTGAAGGCCAAATTCTTCAGCCGAAGAGCTGAGGAGATTAAGGGTGTCGGGGGGAGCTGTGTCCTGGTGGTTTGAAACCACATAGAGGGAGGTTCATTAAATGTTAACTACTTCAAAACAAAACAAAAAACAAAACAAAACAAAAAACCTCCCCCAGGAGAAGAATTCTAATTTTATCAAGCTGAATTAAAATTTGTCTTTTTTTTAAAAACTTACTGTGTCAAAAGAGGCATTATGTTGCTTGTGTGATAGTAAATAGTGTCCCTACAAATTTAATGTACCTGAAATGTCACAATGTGACCTTACAGTAGCCATCCCAACCCCCACCCTTATCTGTGGTGGATACATTTGCAAGATCCCCAGTGGATGCCTGAAACAGCGGATAGTACTGAACCTTATATCTATATACTGTTTGTTTTCCTATGCATACATACCCCTATGATAAAGTTTATGAATTTGGCACTTAAAAATTAACAGCAGAACTAATAAGATGGAAGAGCTGTAACAATATACTCTAATAAAATAATTTAAAACAAGAATTGTTTATAATTTTTCATTTAATATTTTTGGACTGTGGTTTAAATCTGGGTAACTGAAATAACAGAAAGTGAAATTGTGGGCCGGGCATGGTGGCTCACGCCTGTAATCCCAGCACTTTGGGAGGCCAGGGCGGGTGGATCACCTGAGCTTAGGAGTGCAAGACCAGCCTGGCCAACATGGCGAAACCCCGTCTCTACTAAAAATACAAAATTAGCTGGGTGTGGTTGCACATACCTGTGATCCCAACTACTTGGGAAGGTGAGGCGGGAGAATCGCTTGAACCTGGGAGGCGGAGGTTGTAGTGAGCCGAGATAGTACAATTGCACTTCAGTCTGGGCAACAAGAGCAAAACTCCATCTCAGAGGGGAAAAAAGTGAAATCATGGGAAAGGATAGACTACTGTATTTGGAAACAGGGTCTTTGCAGATGTCATTAGTTACAGATCTTGAGGTGAATTCATCCTGTATTTAGGGTGGGCTCTAAATCCAATGCCTAGCGTCCTCATAAGAAGAGGAGAAGACACACAAATGAAAAGAGGCCATGGCAGTGAAAGTTGAATTATGCTGCCAGAGGGAAAGGACTACTTGGGACCACCACAAGTTGGAAGAGGCAAAGGATTCCTCCCTGGAGCCTTCAGAGGGAGCATGACCCTGCGAACACTTTGATTTCAGACTCGAGAAACGTGAGAGAACAAATTTCTGTTGTTTAATTATTACAGCAGTCCTGGGGAACTCATAGATATGGGTAAAAGTATACAGTGAAATCTGAGTACTAAGCACTCGAGACTTTTATAAGGTTGCTTAAAATTGACGCAGGAATTCTGAGGAAAATGTCTAGTTTTGTGGCAGTCTTTTTATCTTTGCTAAACTATAATGACACTGTGTGGATAGATGAAACTAAGACCTGTTAATTCCATAATCCTATTTATTTTTAAATACCGCATCTACATTTCAATAATGGATTTCATTATGCCAAAGGTGTTTATAGTTAGCAAGATTATAACTGATTTGCATTTTTATCTACTATTCTGGTCATCTTGAGCAGTGGTTATTGAATGACAGGAGAAACGTTCAAAGGCAAACAAATAGAGGTGAAGAAAAACAAAAAAACTGGATGGATATTCAACATCAAAAGCTATTCAGGAATGGAGATTTGGTTTTGTTCTTAAGCTTATACCATTTTATATCCTAATAGAGGCTTTCCAGTTGACTGGGCATGGTGGCTCAAAGCTGTAATCCCAGCACTTTGGGTGGCCGAGATGGGAGCATTGCTTGAGGCCAGGAGTTCGAGGCCAGCCCGCTCAACATAGCGAGACTCCATCTCTTTAAAAAAAATAATAAATAAGATTTTCCAGTACCTTTACAATAAGTCAGTGACATGCTGATTACATTTTGGTCTTGAAGCTGGCTACTTTTTTAAAAAAATTGAGGTGAAATTCACATGAAATTAACCATTTTAGGGTGAACAAGTCAGTGGCATTTTGCCATTAAAAGTAATGGCAAAAACTGCAATTGCTATTGCACCAACCATAATGCATTCACAGTATTGGACAGGCATAACCTCCAATTCCAAACTAGACCTTTTTGTGTCTGGCTCCTTTTACATAATGGTTTTGCAGTTCATTTCTATTGCAGCATATATCAGTACGTCATTGCTTTTTATGCCTGAAAATACTCCATTGTATAGATCAGAATGTGTTTATTCATCTTTTGGTGAATACTTGTGCTATTTTTACTTTTTTTTTTTTTTTTTTTTTTTGAGATGGAGTCTTGCTCTGTCACACCAAGCTGGAGTGCAGTGGAATGATCTTGGCTCACTACAAACTCCACCTCCCAGGTTCCAGTGGTTCTCCTGCCTCAGCCTCCCGAACAGCTGGGATTGCAGGTGCATGCCACCACACCCAGCTAAGTTTTGTACTTTTAGTAGAGATGGGGTTTCGCCGTGTTGGCCAGGCTGGTCTCAAACTCCTGACCTCAGGTGATCCACCTGCCTCAGTCTCCCAAAGTGTTAGGCTTATAGGCGTGAGCCACCGCGCCCAGCCTATTTTTACTTTTTGTTGTGAATACTGCTGCTATGAATGTACATGTGTGCATGTATATGAATACCAGTTTTTAATTCTTTTAGATATGTAAGAGTAGAAGTGTTGAGTCATATGGTAATTCTACATTTAACTTTTTAAGGAACTACCAAACTTTTCCACAGAGGAACCATTTTACATTTCCACCAGCAATACACAAGGCTTGCAGTTTCTCCACATCTCCATTGACACTTGTAAATTTCCATTTTTTTATTATAGCCATGCTACTGGCTGTGAAGTTGATACCTCATTGTGTCTTTTATTTGCATTTTCCTAATGACCAGCAATGTTGAGCATCTTTTCATACGTTTACTAGCCACTTAGATATCTTCTCTAGAGAAATGTCTTAAGTCCTTTTTCCATTATTTTGTAACGTTTTGAAGTGGGGTCTTGCTGTGTTGCCCAGCCTGGCCTCATCTCCTGGGCTTAAGTGATCCTTCTGCCTCAGCTTCCCCAGGAGCTGTCTTTGCTCATTTTTTAAATTGAGTTTTTTGTCTTTGTTGTTGAGTTGTTTTGATGATGTTCTTTGATACACCAAAGCTTTAAATTTTGGTTAGGTCTAGTTTATTATTTTATTGTTTTTTTTTTTTTTTAATTGCTCTTGCTTTTGGTGTTGTATCTAAGAATCCATTGCCAAATCTAAGGCCATGAAGCTTTCCTCCTTTGTTGTCTTCTAAGACTATTATGGTTTTAGCTGTTGTAATTAGGTTGTTGATCCATTTGAGTTAATTTTTGTACATGGTATGAGGTATAGCACCCAACTTCATTTTTTTTTTTGCATATTGGTATCCATTTGTCCCAGCACCACTTGTTGAAGAGACTATTATTTTACCAGCTACTTTTTGACACCGCTCTTAACATACCCTAGTGGTGGTCAGTTCTAGGACCTAGGTTGTCCAGCTGTGATGCATCAAACCCATAGCTGTATAATTTGCATTTCTTTTTTTTTTTTTCTTTTCTTTTAGGTATGCTGCATGTTGACATATTTTATTTTATTTTTTAACTTTTTTTATTTTAGTGTTAGGGATACATAGACAGGTTTGTTTTATAGGTAAACTCAAGTCATTAGTACCAGGTACTAAGTCCAGTACCCAATAGTTACATTTTTTATTTTTTTATTTTTTTGAGTTGGAGTTTCGCTCTTTTTACCCAGGCTGGAGTGCAATGGCGTGATCTCAGCTCACCGCAACCTCCGGCTCCCAGGTTCAAGCAATTCTCCTGCCTCAGCCTCCTGAGTAGCTGGGACTACAGGTGTGCACCACCACGCCCAGCTAATTTTTTTTTTTTTTTTGTATTTTAGTAGAGACAGGGTTTCACCATGTTGACTAGGATGGTCTCGATCTCTTGACCTCGTGATCCACCCACCTCGGCCTCCCAAAGTGCTGGGATTCCAGGCGTGAGCCACCGTGCCCGGCCTAATTTGCATTTCTAAGAGAGGACAGGTTCATCCTAATCTGATCACTTCTATCACATGCCTAAAGGGGAGACGATGTTATCTTGTTAGGGTGTAGCTTTCATGGTGTCTAGGAACAGATATGTTAGGTATGAGGGTAGAGATGGTTCTTAACTGTCACATAGGTTTGTTCTCCAACCAACTTCAGACATGTAGTGTATTGTGGAGAGTACATTGTCTAAATAGAAAAAAGAGAGACTCTGCACCCTAGCCAAAAATAATCTTTATTGTACTTCTGCCCTGGGAAACCCTCCCCAGAGTTTTTCATCTCCATGTTATTGGTCAGAACTGTGTGAAAGGACTGCACTTAGCGGCACATGCCTCTGGGAAGGTGAGAATTTTGCTTTCCATCCTGTATCTAGAGAAGGCAAAGGAGAATATGACTGGGGAAATGTAGAGTGAAACTGTCGATAGTATCTGCCAGAGACAGACCTGTTGAAATGTGTTTACAGCATGGTGTTACTATTTTGTGTGACTGGTAATTGAAGTTGAATTGGTCTGTTGCAATTCCATGACCAAATAAACTCAAGATTCTCTAATAAAAGCATACCATAGTTTTTTTAGTCTGGAAATAACATATTTACATCTGACCTCATATCACTGGGACTTTTTTTTTTAAAAACACTTTGCTAGGAGACATAGAGAAAGCCCGGGAAATTAAGAGGGAGATAAAGCTTCAAAATGCCTCTGTCTCTTGTATTTCGAAACATAAAAAAATTAGCCTGGCGTGGTGGCTCATGCCTGTAATCCCAGCACTTTGGGAGGCTGAGGTGGGCAGATCACAAGGTCAGGAGATTGAGAACATCCTGGATACTATGGTGAAACCCCATCTCTACTAAAAATACAAAAAAATTAGCTGGGCATGGTGGTGCATGCCTGTAATCCCACTTGGGAGGCTGGGGCAGGAGAACAGCTTGAACCCAGGAGGTGGAGGCTGCAGTGAGCTGAGATCGCACCACTGCACTCCAGCCTGGTTGACAGAGCAAGACTCCATCTCAAAAAAAAAAAAAAAAGTTAAAGATTTATTAGCATTCATTAATTTATTCAATAACATTGTACACTGGGGATGCTAAGAATTTGCATTTCCAAGCCAAAGTTCTATTTGTGGTTTCACCATGCACTAACTAGTTGCAAAACATCAGACATTGCTCTTTGATTTTAAAACTACTTTCATATACATTATCTTTGAATTCTCATAGTTCCTGTTAGGTAGAAAAGTAGGTGAAGAGGTTAAATAGCTTTCACAAGGTCACATGCAGTGACAAAGCGGGAATTACAACCTAGGCTCTATTTGATGCTAAGAATGTGTCCTCACTATACTAATGAGACTGTTATCTAGAAAAAATTTCTTTATTAAGGTTGTCAGAATCTTTCAGCTCCCTTTGTCACAACTCACTGAGATGGATAGGGCTGCAAAGGGCTCAGTAGTTATAAAATGCCTTCAGATGGGAGAATGCTAATGCAA